GGGGGGGGGGAGATTTAACTGGAATAACGACAATGAAACTACGAAATCGGTGTGTGAAGTAGACGGAAGATATAGGAGTAGAAAAGATATGAGGAGGGGGTAAGAAAGATGAGTAAAAAGAGAATCATGCGCGCAAGACCACATGCTGCGAATAATACTCTTCTCGCGTACTACTGTTCCCTATCTTCTCCTCTGGCTCTTTTCCACTCTTTCTTTATACTTCATACTGTACATTGCCTTTTCCTTCGTATCTTCTTTGCCCCTATTGCCTTTCATTCGTGCTTTCAGTCCTTTCTTTCATCCACATCTACCAGTCCTTTCCAATCAGCTTTTCAACATTATAACAAGACTTCCGCTCCTGCATTGACTTCTATTTCTGGAAACGCTTCAACACCAAATCTTTTCTTCTTTGCCTCGCGCGGCATTTTTTCACAACAAATTGCAATCAAGCTGCAATCGAACTGCAAATAAAGAGGAATTTGGTAATCGAAGTAAATCTTGGAACAACGACGAGACTCTTCATTTATTGTTGAAATAAATCGATTATTAAATTAGATAAATTCGAATTAACGCTGCGTTATGAAAACGTAGAGATAGGGAGTAAAATAAACGTGGCCTTGGCGATGGTACAATGGAACCGAGAAGCGAGGTAAACTAAATCAACGCAACGTCGATTCATGTCGAATCGAATCCAGAAGGGGGGGGGGACTCAATTCATATAATTTAGGGGAAAATCAATTTTTCGAATGGGGAACGATCGCATCGAGGAATCCTACATTATAGCATCCGCGAGGATCGACAAGGCCACGCCCATCCGGATATCGATTCGTTGACAACGTTGCTTTTCGCTCGTGGCTCGGACATACCAAACTTGAAACAGCCGAACATTGTCGTTCCTCTCTGATTCTTCCTTCCGATTTCTTCCGTTTTTTACCTCCGATCTACTTTTCCTGCGCGGTCGGGAATATTTTTCGCGAAGCGAATGTATAAAAACCACGAGAAATAAGAAGGAAGGGACCACGGCGCAGATATCAAGCGAAAAATCTGCATCACGAATTTCCGGTGGAAATTTATCTTGCTTTGTTTCCCAAGTTCCTGCGTTTCAGAAATAAAAATCGCTTTACGCGAGAGCATTTCATGAATCGTCGACCATTGTTACGATATTGGTTCCGCTTATCAAAA